AATGATGGCGGTTGTTGAAGCCGCGAAACGTATTTACGTGTATTGTGAAGGTATTATGGTGCAGTAAAGGTGGTCTGATGGTGGTATAGCCGTCAATTGGCTTTTGTTGCCGAATGAAGAGATGCCCCAGCAACTTGGGTAGTTTACTGCTGGGAGGCTGATGGTCGACCGTATATTGATGCGGTTACCACTACGGACTGCTGATAGAGTCTTATGTTTTTGTTGTATGGCTGTATACACTGTCTTTGACCGCGCTGACCTTTGCCCGTCACGCTTACTTGAAGGTACGAATCCATTAGGCATCCTTTACAATGTACCATTGATGATGGACGCAAGAAAATGATTATGATCACCAGGGAAGTGGGATTAGATTCTCGCCGGGAGCTTATTCCGTAGATACACGAAGTTGGCTTCGTTGCAGGTTTTGGAACGAGATGTTGTGCGGAAAAATCTGCATAGGACCCATCAGGTTTCGAGCCCGTGTCCGACGCTTTGCTTCTGTCAGATCATTAGGTCCGCTAAACTTTAAGACGCCGGTCACGGTAGCCGAGCGGTCTAAGGCATGTACTGTCTTCGCTCGCTTAGAAACCGGGATCGTGGGTTCGAACCCCACTCAGGGCACTGATGTTTAGTTTGTGTGTGTGCGTTTTTCTGTGTTTGTGTATAGGTAGAGGCCTTGCGACGAACTGAACACCCGCCCAAGGAGTCCTACCGAATGTCTTAAGATCAAGAAAAACCGAAGCGGACGGAGAAGTTGATCGAGGTAGGCCTAGGCCCACTGGGGCTGTAGTGCCAAGGAAAAAACTTTTAGACGCACATTACTATTAATTACATACAGGCATATTCCTCGTCCGGTCTGTAAGACATACGTTGTTAAATGGTACAGTAGCGGGGGAAGGAGAAGAGAAATATTGGGTTCGTCACTGAGTTGAGACTCCCCCCTCCACTACTTTCAAGCGGTCAGGAGAGTAGACACGCAGTGGAGTGAAGGATTTGTTCACACCCTGCTGATAACTTTCAGTCAAGCAGTTGCTGGCAGGATCTTAGTTTATTGTCCGAAATACGGTAATCATCCCCAATCTCTGGAGATATAGACAAGAGTAATGCTGTTTGATGTTAATTCACACGAAACACTTGTTGATAACGTCAAGCTTCTGTCAGAGTTTTGTTTAAGGACGTCTGGTAGCATTGTGAATGCAGTATGTCAGAAAACGAATTTGAATTTGTACTTATCACATGCAACATGAATGAAGTGCAGAGATAGACTGTTATCTACCTCGCTTCACAGTGACAGCCATTCGTACTTCCAATACTCGAGAAACATGTCCAATTATAGAACACAACAATAGCAACAGCAGCAGCAACAACAATAGCAGTAATTCAGTTCATTTCAATTCTTTATTATTTATGTGCTGAGCCAACAGCCGCAAGGCCAATTACGCGCAGCACAGTGTTGATAAAAGTAGTGACATACAGGACAAACACAACATAAGTCAAAGACTGATTAAAGGTAAACATTGGAGGAAAACACATTAATGCATGTAAGGAAAAAAAATAGTAGTAGTAATAATAATAATAATATTATTATTATTATTAAGGTAGAGGGATCCCTGTAACAGACCGTGGACGCCCATAGGTTTGTGACGCTTTGAGGGTCCCACATTATCTAGACAGTTGGCTCACAGATGGTGGTAAGGTTGTCAGCCTTACACACCGGCCGCCCTTTACCCCCAGGAAGATTCCTGGTACTCATTTCTGTTAGAGGCTGAGTCGACCCCAGGGCCATAGTGCGGCTGGAAAGATTAGGTAAATTTAAAAATCCAGCTCATCGGGACTGGAACCCGCGACCTTCCGGCTTGTAGCGTAGTGCCTCANGTACCTGATATCTGGTTTGAATCTCAGTTAGTACTGGCATGAGATTTTCTTGTTTTCCAAACAGATGCTAACTTTGGAGTTGCTGTATCACTTCGTTTTGCCCAACCATACAGCACCAAGAACTGGCATCTTCTACTTGATCTGGCGTGGCTTATCGCACATCCCTCCATATACCTCGCATTGTGATGAAGTTTGGTTATATAGCAAACAAAACAAACTCCGTGGCCTGTAGTCCGTAAGCTAACTATACCGACCGCCGCTCGTCGGCGAAGTTAGTGCCAGCTTTTGCGGATAGAAGGTGTCACGTGGTCGGCGCAACGGATCCCCTCGGCATTTAATCTCGGTTTTCCAGACCGGAGCCTCTATTTCCTTGAAATAACTCCTCCCTTATCCTGACGAGGCTGAGTGGACCCCGTTCCAGACCCACTACTCAGAAAATCTGGTAGCGCCGGGAATCGAACCCAGAACCTCTGGATATGTAGGCAAGAACTCTGACCAGTAGACCACAGAGGCGGTCAGTGTGGTTATATTAACTTATTTTTCTTTTTACCCTGAGGTAGCATCTTTAGCAACTTCTGTACTCAGAAGTGATTATGGCAAGCACAGGTTCTGATTACAGTTGGATTTATAGGAGATCTACAGTCTGTTTAGTTTTAAGCAACAAAGCATCGATGCTTCCATAGATCTTTGATTAAGTGAAAGAGCGTGTAGGGTAAATGTTACTAGCGCATGGATGTCATAGACATATGAATTTAATTTTGTTCTTCCTGTGTACACGGTGTGTCCAGCATCCGTTGGGACTCGTTTTTTTTTTTTTAAATTTGCCCTGCAATGCCATCTGTTGGCGAATTGTGGCGTTAAGATTTTTGAAGTTTCAGCTGTGGCTGCCTATAATTTTAAAGCGCAAGCATCGCTGCATCATGTGATCTGACCTTGAAAATAACAGTGCTGTTCTGACGCTCGTCGGAAAATGGCGGTTGAATAGAGAACCAACATAAAATTTTGTTTGAAGTTAGGCAGAACAGCCGGAGAGGCATACGAAATGATGAAAAGTGTGTACGGTAGTGACTGTTTGAGTCGCTTGAACATTTTTCGATTGTATGCTGTATTTCGTGACGCTCCACGTGCATCAACGCCGAGAACAAGTCGCTCTGAAGAAAATGTGAAAAAAGCGACCGAAATCCTTGCATCAGACATGTGTTTCTGCAAGACTCATCGAGGAGCTTTTGGGAATACCAAAAAGTACTGTGCATCAAATTTTGACCGAAGATTTGGGCAAACGGAAAGTCTGTGCTCGGTTTGTACCACATGCGCTATCAGGCGATGTAAAACTTGCCAGAGTGGAACACTGCAAAGACATGTTACGGTCGCCTCAAAGTGATACAAAATTTGCCAAATCGATTGTTACTGATGACGAGACATGATTTCAATATGAGCCTCTCACAAAGCGGCAGAGTGCAGCGTGGTTGAGCCCAAAGAAGCCGAAACCAAAGAAAGTGCGCATGCAGAAGAGTCGAGTAAAGACACTGCTAACCGTTTTCTTCGATTCCAGAGGAATTATTCACAAGAAATTTCTGCCAGAAGGTCAGACCGTTAATTCTGATTTATTATCTCGCAGTTCTCAATCGTTTGTGGGCGAGAATTTTCGAATTCGACCTGAATATCGAGAACAAGGCTCCTTGTCGCTCCTCCACGACAATGCCCCACACCACAAATCGGTGATCGTGCGCGATTTTTTGGCCAGAAAAGGGATCACAGTCCTTGATGATCCTCCGTATTTGCCAGATTTGGCTCCAGCAGATTTCTGGTTGTTCCCAAAAGTTAAGTTGGCGATGAAAGGAGACCGTGACGACACCATCCAGGACATCCAAAGGTATACTGCAGTTTTAAATGCGATTCGACAAAAGGAGTACAGTGACTGTTTTCGAAAACTTTTCAATTGATTCCAGCTCTGTATTGATTCAGAAGGAGACTGTTTTGAATAAATGGAGTGAAATTTTGAAAATAATTCATGTCTTGTATTTTTAATGAACACAGTCCTAACAGAACCTGGACACACTGTGTATGCCCGATTTTGTAGGCATTTATCTCAAATGGTTACATTGTTACCTCTTCCCAGTGTGTCATTTATTTGCATCACCATTGTCATTACTGTTTCATTTATATTTGTTGTTAATATTCAGTCAATGGCCTCTTGGACTGTGACACCCAGTAGTCTCTTAGGTGGATACCGCCAATGCTGCCTCCACCTTCAGTGTGAAAGTAATTTCCTCTGAAACGCTGGTATCCACATACAAGACTAAATGCTGTCACTACCCAGAAGACCATAATTTGAATATATGTCAGTGTGAAGACCAGATAGATCTTACAGTACTGTTGAAGAGTGCAGTATTTTGGGTTCTGACGCTGTGAAGTTTGTAGAGGGCCCTCTGTCCCAACACATGGGGTTACAACCCAGAACACCATGGTCTCCACACACGCACACCCTCCCCATGAGAACCTCAGACCCAACATTATATTGCAACGTATAGACCTGTTGCTAGACAAAGACGTCAAAACAAACAGCAAGACAGCTGTTCTTATGGAATGATCGTGAGATGGGAGGTTACATTAGACCTGTTTCTGCATGCAGTGGGGGAAACGGGGTGTTGCCTACATGGTCCGCGCCGAGGAGTTAAAAAGAAGAGAACTTGGGTAACCAAGTTCAGTTGATAGTTGAAAGTCAACCTGTGAAGTCAAGACTAGGAGGTTGGTGTGAAGTGGCCGCTAGCCTGGTAGTTGTCGGTTAACAGTGCTAGGATTTGAGTTCACGGGATGCCGTGAGGACAGAACCTGAGTGCTAAAGCTGAAGAATCTCCACTGTTAGAAGCCGTTGTCAGGAAACGGATGATGTCACAGGCTGGAAGAAGGCTCAGTGGGTGCAGTGGTTTTTTGTAAAGTGTGGATATTGGTGATAGTGCTGTAATTACTTGTGTTTCTGAGTGGTTTGTATATGTGGTCAGTAAATCCATTCACCAAACCAAATCCCGTCTATAGTCGCACATAAATCATATCAGTATTGTTGCTGAAGCGAAGGGTATGTCTGTACATGCTTTGTTATAGTCACTGCATTTCTATGTTCATAGCAGTCAGCACCGTTGCCGATCTGTGGGGAGTGCCTGGGCACCGCGGCCAAGAACCGTCTGGGTCGTGCTGAACCACTCAGCTCGTGCTCACAGTGTGGAAGCTCCGTGCATCTCTCATGTGTGGGTGGTGGTCGAGGAGTAGAACTTGCCGCCCTCTTAGCCAAAGGAGGTCGTTGGTTCTGTGAGGAGTGTCGCACTTGCGCAGGCTGCAATGAGACTGCAGACCAGGCAAGTGTTACTACAGTCTTCTGATTATTGTTGCATGAAAACCGCTGTATTTAACTCACTGGTCCTGTCTGATATGTAAATGTTTTTGATGTGTGTCAACTAATATGATGAAAGCAGTCTTTGTGATTTTGCATGGATTTTATGTTCGTTTCTAACAGATACAAATTTAACGTTCAGCTGTGCCCTTTGGGAATATGGCACATGGATTGTTGAAGGTTTTGCAGTGTTTCAGCAAAACTTGAAGTTGCTGTCTTCTGGGGTAATGAGGGTGGCAGCTGTGTTGTTTGTCAGATCTTTGGAAAACCTGCAGCATTCTTCTAAGTATATCCCCAAAAGCCAAAGACATTAAGCTCCAGCTGCAAAAGCCTGAGGACTGGATACAAACATGAAGCTTGCAGTAAAGAGAATAATGATTATGTAGACCAAGAGAGATTTGTTTTGCATCAGATGAAATGGTTGTATTCTGGAGTGCTAGAAGGATGGGCATGATTAATTATGGGCTAGCATGTCACAGGGATATGAGTTTTCACACTTACTGGCAGGACATAGACAAAAGAGTACTCACAAAGTACTGAGTTACTGGAAAAGTCAAATTAAAAATAAGTCTTGCAGAATTTGTATTAATTTGTATTAAAGTAAAACATTTCTACTCACCAGTAGTTTGATGATAAACTGAAAATTTTCTCCTTGAACCAGTCAGGTCTATAGTATTAGGCCTAAGAGTCCATTTCCTTGAGTTGTTAAAAAATTACTCAGTTGAAGTTTCATCACCATATTCACAGGAGATTTAATTTTTTTTCATGTGCTGATACATTTAAACATAGGTTACATTTTGTCTGTTTAGCATTGATGTCTTTGTAGCAGTTGATTATAATGAGAACCCAATGCAAAGTGTGAAGTATTGATCTTGCATACACTGGCACTTTATGAAGATGTTTTATAACCAATCCAAACTTTCCAGGCCTGCTTGCTCTGTTGCTGTGACTGTGATCGGGGGTACCACATGGGCTGCCTGGAGCCCCCTGCTGAACGACGCCCCAAAGCCCCTTGGCGCTGCAAACACTGCTTGGCGCATCACACTACAAAGAAGGCCAGGAACTTGGATGCTGCTGGAACAGTGAAGAAAAAGTACTCAAAAGTATGGGAGAGGAGCAGGGATGCGAGAAGTTCCAAGTGTGTATATATTGACATTTTATTTTCTGCATTAAGTGTAATAAGGTACACATAACAGCTGGTATCATGACTAGGTTACAGGCTGAACGACTGAGGAGTCAGTGTTTGACACTGGTAGTGGCAAGAGATTCTCTTCTCCATAATGGCCACACCAACTTTGGGGCTCACACAGCCTCCTGTGTAGTGGGTACCAGGGGCTGTTTCACTGGGGGTAAAATGGAGGGGCTTGAAGCTGACCACTCACCTCCATCTAGGGCTAAATCTCCTCTTCCCCATGCTTCTTTATGGCACATAAAAAGTATAGGTATCCCTGCAACAGGCTGCGGAGGTCCATAGGGTTGTGAGATGTTGAGGTTCCCACATTTTCTAGACAATTGGCTAGGTCATCAGCCCTATGTGCCAGCTGCCTTTTACCCCCAAGAGTATTCCTGGTACTCATTTCTGATAAGAGGCTGAGTAGATTCCAGGGCCATAGTGTGGCTGGAAGGATTAGGTAAATTAAAAAAAATCCAGTGACCTCATCAGGACTTGAACCCGCAGGCTGGAAGGATTAGGTAAATTGAAAATATCCAATGACCTCATAAGGACTTGAACCCACGCCCTGCCAGCTTGTAGCATAGTGCCTCAACCAACTATGCTACAGCGTGCCCCTCTTTATGGCACATTGCGTAATTAATTAAGGCCAGGGGTAACTTCACCATATTTTCATATAGCATTTATCTGATATGTTGAAAAGTTTTGTTCTCATGGTGTTATATACATTGCCTGCTGTGTTAGATTTAATGTATTTATATGAACCATAAGCAGTAGATGAGTTTACAAACATTGGCATTATCATATCTTAGAAGATCCAAGTCTGTGAAGACAGTGTGAACAAAAGGCCTGTTTTATGCCTGCTGTATAAGCTGTCGATCTGAGGTGATCAGCATTTTCAGTGGTGTATGCAATATGTTATCGATTTAGCAAAAACTGGCAGTGCTTGCCTAAGTGCAGATGTTAAAATATATTTTTTACACAGGTTATTGACTGCTGCACGGCCATCGAAGGAGTCCAGTGGTGGATCTGCTTCTCCGGGCAAGAAAGTGAAGAGAACCAGCTCTTCCACAGCTACTCCTGCGGCTGTTCCTCATGACAGCAGTTCAGGCTCTGAGGAGGGTAATGATACAGCCGCTACCAGCTGCTACTCCTCTTCCTTCCTCTCTCAAATGTCTGGTGGCTGCGGTGGTGCGGGGGTTAGGGGCCAGAGCAGTAGGGACCAGCACAAGCTTGAAGAGACAAGTGATCGCATCTCGAAAGAGAAACAGAAATTCTTTCGCCTCAGTGCTTTTTATGCAGATCACAAGTTTAAGCGGGTGGGTGGGTTGGGTACTACAGTGACAGCAGCATCAAATGTGGGGAAGGGAAGGGGAAGGGGAACCACTGTCACAAGCAGCAGCAGTTCGAGTAGCAGCAGGGACGATTCGGACAGTGCCACGAGCACAGAGGAAGGGGTCAAAAAGGTAAATAGTCCAGCTTCAGCCAAAGTGTTAGGATGTGTGCCAGCTGTGCAGCATAAACAAGAAGGTAGTACTAGTAATAATAAAGTGAAAGTGAGTGCATCTTTATTTCACACCTTGCCAAGCCGACAGAGGCCCAGGCCTGTGAGGACTGCACCGGCGCCAGTAGCGAGCTTTCCTACTATGTCCATGAGTTCCCTTGCTCCAAGTACCGTAGCTGCTGCAGCTGCAGAGTCGGGGAACTCTCCCTGGGGATTTGCAGCTGCAGCAGCTAGGAACAAGAGTGAAGGTATTTTGGGTTCCTTCAGTAAACCTGCTCCTGAGGCCACAAAATTCACACCAATGCTTGGTGGCCTTGAATGTCATCGGAAAGGGAAGAAGCTGCCTGGGGGCTCTAGTGTTACTACTCCGACATTTGCCTCTTTGTCTGCTAGCTGTGGAACTGTAAATATAAAAGCGGAGAGTGGGAATAGCAGCAGCAGCAACCTCTCGCAGAAGGAAGAGAAGACGACTGGATCATCATCCTCCTCAAGTAGTTACAAATTGCAGCCTGGTTTTGGACAATTGAAGGGCCTGTTTGATGGTCTCAGTCACTTATTCACTACTCCAACACATAATCGGACTCGTACTGGCGCGATAAATTACAATGCCGATAGCAAGAAGAACCAGAGATGTCTTCAGAAGTTACAGCAAACTCAGGAAACAAAGAAGCTCACCCCTGGTCAGAGTATACCTTCACTGTCAGCCACTTCATTTATGCCTTTTGCTGCATCTTTGTCTGTTACGGCAAAAGCGAAAAACAGTGATGCTGGAATTACGAGCAATAAGACTGTGCCTCCCCCCTATCAGACAGCAGGAAGATCAGGCAGAGTTGTCACACAGCAGCACAGTCAGTCACATGCAATTCCTACCATAGCGAAACCTAAGGCAACAGTCAAGATAGAGACCCCACTGTCTCGGACCGGCCCAGTACAGCCACCCGCACCCCCTGCCAACAGGAAAGTGCCACGCCCTGGTATATTTGTGCCTAGTTCCGAAACGGACTTCCCATCCTTGACCCCTCCGGCACCTCCCGAGCCAGAGAATAGAATGACTCCCTCACGCCTTGTGAAGACTGCAGTGAACAGCAAAAAGCTGGAGCAGGAACGGCGTCGGTGGCTGAAGGGTGACGGTCCACCATTCTTTGGAGCAGGAGCTGGTGGGAGTTTGGGAACACTTGGTTACATGATGATGGGACGTTCCCTGCCACATCCGTTCCTTCTGACGGGCTCGTTGCATTATGCCACCGATGATCCCAAGCTGAAAAAGAAGCACCTGATTGCAGAAGCCACCCAGACCCACCATCGCTACCACCATCACCACAGATACCAACACCCGCTACCGCTACCAGTGCCATCCACATCCATCGCGCCAACACTTGTGCAGACGGGTAAGAACCCACCATTCCTACTGCGGGTTTATTTTGCCTCCTGCTTCTTATAATACACTGACTCCCTTTAATTACTGCTTGAAAACCTTCCTTTATTTACATTTGAATGATTGGCTGCAGAGAACTAGCAACCTGCAAGATGTGTGTGAGTTGGTCCAGCCCACCTGATGTGTGAATGTGTGGACAAACTCCATTGAAGCCTAGCATGCTGTGGTGTGGCAGCATAGGGCCCTCCCGCTCCCCCCTCCTCACCTGGGCTCAGCCATCTCAACAGTGGAAACACACCGCAAGAAGCTTTAGTAACTCCAGTAGTCAAACAAAGAACAAGCAAGCAAGCAAAGCAGGCAGGCGAGCAAGCATGCGGTGGGCGATTGGCTGGGCTGGCTGCTGGCAGGACTCGAACAAAACCATGATCTCTTCCATTGTGCTCGTGCGTGCGTGGCTTGACTTGTATTTGCTTTTTTTTTTTTTAATTTGTTTTTTTTTTATTTTTCCCCCTTATGAGGATTAGGAAGTATTTTGTGCTGAACTGCCGTGGTATATTGGGGTTAACTGAGATCTGGGAACTTGTATTAACACAGAGTATGACTCCTATACTAATAGCACCGTATGCTCAAAATGTTTGCAGCCATCGATGTTGGTTTGAGTTCTGCACTTGGCACCCCTGTAACTCACCCCACTGCCTGCACCAGAATTTGGAGATAAACCTTGCGTACTTTGTGCCGTGGATGTCCTTAGTTCTATGTCCATGGCCGTATGTTGATTGCATGAGATTTTCCTAAACAGTAGGATGTAATTTAATTACTTGAGTTGTGTTTTGTCAGATAATGTGTTCATAAACCATTTCCTCATAACTGCCCAATTGCTTATCTTAACAGTGGTTCAGTGTCTTTATGGAAGCAGTTTATTCAGGTCTATACTGGGATGTCCTTTGATGAGGAAAAGTGAATATTCTGTAATTCTTTTTTTTTTCTTGTGTGAAAATACAAAACATGGTGTACTGCCACTTCTTCTGTGAAATTAAATAATAAAGTAAAAAAAAAATGAATTAAGAAGTTTGGTTTATACAGTGAAATCCATCTTTAAGGTTTCTTTTGGGAGTGGTGGAATTGGATACTAAGCTGAAGAGATTTATTGCTGAGATTTTTGACTTAGGATCATTGGAGTTCAGTGTTAAATGAGGTAAAATGTTAAATCAAATAACATGAAATGGGGGCTTCACTGTAATTTAGTTTCAGTTTTATGTATGAGCATCACATCTTTCGTCTTAGAAATGAAAAGGTTCCCTGGTACACTGTGCATCTACCAAGAACATGTTCACTTTTCTGGTTGAATCAGTGATGTATATTCACATCTTATCATCTCAGGACTTTCCCCTCATTTATCTATATGTTTGTGGTTATGGGTCATAAGCATATCAGATAGGTAAACTGCTAACATGGGCTCCATCTTTGCATGCTCATAAGTACAGTGGAACCTCGCTTAACGAGCATAAATGTGAAACACTCATTAAAAGAAACAATTTTTCCCACATAAATTAATGTAAAATACGACAGTGCATTCCATGGCGAAAAAATACTCAGAAAATTTTATGTATAACGTTTATTGATAGAAAATTATATATACGTTGTTAAGGAGCGTGAATCATCTTCGTCTTTTCTTCTGTGCGGAATGAACTATCTGGAGGATAGTGCAAATCGTCGATGTAGACCAATTGTATGTGCGTGCTAGATCAGCCACGCTCACACCTCATTCTCGCTTTTCAATGATTTTACGCTTCATTTCTACGGTTATTTTTATTCTCTTATGGCTCTTTTTGCGGATTTTTCTTTGGAGACATTTTTGCAAGGGTTATTAAACTTTGCACAAAAAAATCACAAATAATATGTCTGAACACAAGTTTGGAAAAATGTGTGATCACAAGTGACACTAAGATGACAGTGGAACGAGTGCTAAACACAGACTGATGTAGCAAGCGCACAATCCGGGACTTCCCTTCTCGTTACTCGTTATGCGAGTCATTTTCTTACAATTTGTTTTGCTCGTTTTGCGAATTACTCGTTATGAGAGGTGCTCGTTAAGCGAGGTTCCACTGTATATTCTTCTGAGGTACTTGTAACTACAGTGGAATCTGAAAACTACCTGCTTCTAGATTCTGAAGCTTTATAATCCAGTAAAGATTTATCAGTGTTTTGGGGGAACCTGTTGCTCGTATCTGCAGGTTAGAGGAGTCACTTTTACTCGACTCTTCTATACTGAAAATAGAGAGAGTGGGTTCCCCCAGAATGTTGGTAAATGTCTACCAGACTATATGGCGTCACATCCCAGAGGATGATGATCTGTAGAGTCACAACCCTGAGAACTTCAGGTCTGGTGCACTGAAATTACAGTTTAATGTTTTCCACACACTTAGCACGTTGTTAAAAAATTGAATAGATTGGTTATCTTGGTGATTTCATAATACAAGATGATAGTTCACATTCTGAAGTTACCTTAGTAATAATATCTGATCACCAGGCAAGAATTGAAGCCAAACCCTCCTGAATATGAAGCTGAACAGCTACCTACCCAACTGCAGTGTTTGACAGTTGGCTCGTAGGTGAAGTAGACTTATCTCGGACCACGTGTATACTGAGGCAGTGAGTTCAAATCATGTTTGGGGAATTAATGTTTTCTGTATTGCCATGATGGACTTATTTAAGAAGTTGTACAATCTTTTTGATAATTGATTAATTCTTGGGCTGTTTAATGATGTTCTGCCAACTGTATATGTTATACGAGGGGCAGTCAAAAAGTTTCCAGATTGGTGGTATAGCACTCTAATGGTTGGACGTATGGCAATGCTTACCTAATCACCTTCAAAGTAGGACCATTGTGCGCACACACACTTGCTCCATCGATCCTGCCATTTTTGGAAGCAGGGGTGGAAGGCTTCTTTTGGAATCTTCCGGAGCTCAGCCATTGCATTCGATATGATGTCCTCCATGGTTGCGAAACGTGTTCCCTTGAGGCCCATTTTCAGAGTAGGGAACAGCCAAAAGTCACTCGGAGCGAGATCTGGAGAGTACGGTGGTTGAGTGATGACAGGAATGTTTTTCTCGGCGAGGAATTGCTGCACAACAAGTGATGTGTGGCTCGGTGTGTTATCGTGATGCAGAAACCACTGTCCCTGCCACTTTTTGTGCTACCTCTGCAAAACGTGCACATAGAAATGGCCAGTAACAGTACCAACTTCTTGCTCCAACTCCACAATGGTCATTCTTCAATCACATCGAATCACTTGTCGCACTTTTCCAATCACTTCGTCGGTTGTGGATGTGAAAGGTTTCCTGCTGCGCTGGTCATCCTATAACGTCTCCTGCCCATTCTTAAACCGGGAAAACCAGTCGTAAACTGCAGATTTCTTTAGTGCAGTATCACCATAAAATTGCTGCAGGGCCGATAGTGTCTCTGAAGCAGATTTTTCCAATTTGCACATGAACTTGATGTTTGCATGCTGTTCGAACTGTAACATTGTGCCGAATGACCAACACGTCTGATTCAAATGGAACAGTAATGACACTGCACACTGAAACCTGTCCAGACCTGTTGCGCCTGCGAGCAGACATGCTAAGCTTCCCACCACAACAGTGTGTGCGCTATCTTATCGCTCGTTCTTTGTCTGCAGGGGAATTCCGGGAACTTTTTGACTGACCTACGTATATAGTGTGAATTGTGTTGGATATGGAAGTGGCTTTGTAGCCTATTGGTATCCTCACATTTGGTTGCAGGGCTGAGGAAGACCACAAAAACCTCAGTCAGAATAATGAACTTCTGGGCCAGGGTTCAAACCCAGGATGTGCTGAATATGACTTAGGAGTGCTAGTCCCTTCCCCACAATGTGATACAGTCTTTCTGAGTGGGGTTGAGGAAGCTCCATGATTAGAGGAGACAAGGCTGAAATTGGGTTATGCATCCAAGAAGGAACAGAATGCTTAGCAGAAGCAGTGTACTTGCGTGTCTTAAAGCACTGTAGAAGTGCCACTCCTATGCAGCTAGCGCAATAAATTGTGTGGTAAAAGGTAAAGCTATCCCTGTAACAGGCCATGAAGGCCCATGAGATTGTAAGATGTTCAGGCTCCCACATTTTCTCTAAACAGTCGGCTCAAAGATTCCTGGTACTGATTTCTGTTAGGGGCTGAGTGGACTCCAGGGCCATAGTGTGGCTGGAAGGATTAGGTCAGTTGAAAAAGTCCACCTCGTCGGGACTCAAACCCGCTACCTTCTAGCTTCTAAATAAATTGTATGAGGACTTCATATTAAATTAACTTTGTATTTAATGTTTTTGTACATTCAACAGCTACAGGCATCTTGAAAAATGCTTGAGAATCCACTGTAGTTATATTTTACTTAGTACCCTATATATTCGTAATTGTATATGGATAAACTTGGCAAGCTGAAAATGTCTTGTTTGTACAAATATAAGGCACATTTATGCCTCAAAACCTTAAAAAAGATGACTGCACATTATATCAGCAGGTGTTCAATTCTTTTAGATACCTATACGTTTCTTAATCTTTATTGTCCAGTAATAGGGGATTTAAATCTCCGTCTATTTTCTGCTGGAGGCCAAATTTTTTACTTAAGAGGTAATGAATGGTATTGGAAACACTGATGCTGGACATGTGCACAGACAGTTGATAAATTTTAAGAGAAATGAACTGGCACGAATGTTTATAAGGTGTGAGGTTCATGGCAATGGTATTAGAGCATGGTCATCTCAGTTGTGACACTGTGTAATCTTCAAGGTGAATGCCATTGTCTCAGAGGAACCTGCTTCCTGCATGGGGTGAGCCCCACTCGCTAATACCATTGAGAATGGAGGCATGAAGTTCTTCTGAACCGTTAGCCACCTGCAAGATTACATAGTGTCAAATGAATGCACAAATTAAATAATTTTGGATGATAAATAAAGAAGGAACCAGGAAGTTTCTGATCCACAGATGACAGAAGGCAGCAGAAAGTTTCTAATGGAAGGCTTTTGTTATCTGAGTGATAGCCGGGGCTGGTGTAACCTAATTGACAAGTTCCACTACCCTCCCTGAGGTTAAAGAACAACTCAGCTGTCCTGAAATGTAGCCACTGGAACTTGAATTTCCTGGACATATTGAGGAAGATTATCAGTGGTTTTGTAAACTTTAAAACTGTTCTGTTTTTGTTGTTACATTAACACAGTGCTTAGATTGCTGGCAGGAGAACAGTGGAAACTACTTTCAGTTATCCACAATTCGGGAAAGATGAGTCTTTGAAACTTGCTACACCATATGGTTGTTATTTTCACCTGTGATTTTGTGTCATTCTTGGTGAAAGTATTCACAATTTAGTTTGAATATTTAATGCTCTCCTTCTATTATACCAGCATAGGTCACTGGTCACTGAGTGAACGTTTACTGCATTTGCTATACTTATGTCCATAAATAGAAACAATATCCAGCTGCATTAAATGTTGTTATATTTTAATGTGGCTGTTATAAAATGCAGAGTGATCATAAAGTCATCTGCTGTCTTATACTTTGGTAGAAAGGTACCAATGATTTGGAGGAACCTGAAGATGGAGGCAGCAAGCAGGTTTCTTCTGAACATTAATACCTTTCTACCTGGTTGAGGAACATGGAATTCATTCTAAAGTACATGTAAGTATTAGTAGTGTTCATGTTGATGTCATTGTCTGCCATTTTCTTGTCACAGTGTGAAATGAAGGACCTACACAGTGTTCTTATTGAATTGTGATTTTTATGGCAAACATTCTATCACAGAAATACATTGGGTCACTATGACCACCTGATACATAAAGAGCTCCAGTCGTTGGGTATATAAGTGAAATTTAGGTACCAAGTTTATTCATATTAAACCAAAAGAAAATCATAAAATTACTTCACAGCTGGTTTATTCTGATGGTTTTAAGTTTTGCTCATGAAAATATTTTGTACACGCTTGATAACCACAATCTAAGTTTGTAAGTTTTTATTTTCTTAGCAAATATATTAATGAAGAAATTGTTGAATCTAATATTTGTCATTTTTAACAGATGTGGGGCAGGCATCTCGAATGCTGCCTCCTGGTGTTAATCAGAGGGATGTGGATCTGTTCAAAGAAACCCGGGAACGAGCTAATTCAGTAAGTTTGTTCTTTTGTGCTTTGCATTAGAATACACCATTATTAATCTGCAAGAAAACCAGATAGGACTGAAATTGAAGGGGCATGTCAAGTTCTTGTCTGTGCTGGTGGTGTTAAAATTGTTTGGGGTATAACATGAGTACCTGGGACTAGTACTTTTGAGGTTGATCTGGTTCAAGATGGGGACCAGTGGAGTGCTCTTGTGAACACGGTAGTGAATCTTATGGCTCCAGGAAATGTTTGAAATGCTTGAGTAGCAAAGTGACTTGCAGCTTCTGCAGAAGGACTTTGTTCTGTGTAGCCAGTCGACATGACTGCCATAAAGAGAACCGCAGAAGCTGTAATAGATGCTGGTCCTTTTTGGAGGTCTCACCCTTTCCATAGAGGTACTATCCCCAGGCCTTGGCCTGTTAAAGGTTCTAGTTGAGGTTTCTCCCCAGTTGGGTATGCCTGCATTTTCTGCTGAGTGCCCCCACTTCCTCCTTTGGTTGCCCTTATTTCTTCAGCGTCCACCTGGCGCATCCAGGTAGTTTTGTTCTCGCTAGGTGAAGTCTGCCTACTTATGAAGCTAAAGGTCTCAGACCTTCTCCTTCAGTGGGTTTGCAAGAACTGCAGTGGTATGTGAGAACTGCTGACCCCTTAGAGAAGGGTCCTTGATGTTACATTAGGCAGGTTTCTCACTACTGGTTCATCCCTGTCTATGGCTGGCTGAAATTTCAACAGCAGGTTCGCCATTTGCATCAATGCCCCTTGATGGCATTCTTGAGCTCCCAGCTCTCTGCTGAAGTATTTCTTGTAAGGATCACCTTGGAGGGGAGTCATTCTTCCTTTTAAGTCTGGATTGCCTTCTGGTAGCCATTTACAGTCACTAATGGGTGTATGGCTTAAATACAATGGTGCTGCCTGGTGCTTCAGTATTGTTAGCTGCACTGCCTAGATTCCATCCCAGTCTTACACAGCCCTTGGCATGATGCCTCACACCTTTGCTTAGGTGGAGTATTACGCAGTTCACCACTTTACTGATATCCCTTCCCTCCACAATGATGCCACAGTTGGCTTTTGGAGGGGTAGAGGAAACTTAAGTATCTGCTGTCATCTTGTTACCTAGGATGCAAGGGGCAAAATAATAACACTGCTGTGGCTGATAGGTGCTTTGAAAATATGGCAAGAGTTCAAATGTTGGGAACAGCAATAACAGAACAAAAATTGATTGTTGAGGAAATAAGAGCAGATCAGATTTGAATAATGCTTGCTGCCATTCAGTTCAGAACATTGTCATCTCGTTTGCTGTCTAAAAACTATGTGGCTTGTAGTCTGCAAGCGAACTATACTGAACGAGCGACCGCTGCTTGTTGGTGAAGTTAGTGCCAACTTTTGCGGATAGAGGGTGTCGTGTGGTCAGTGCAACGAATCCCCACAGCCGTTAATTTCGGTTTTCTAGGCTGGAGCCCGCTATTTCCTTGAAATATCTCCTCAATTATAATCACGAGGCTGAGTTGACCCTGTTCCAGACCCACTACTTCTCAGAAAAAATGTGGTAGCACTGGGAATTGAACCCGGAACTCTGGATCTGTAGCCAGGAATGCTGACCACTAGACCACAGACGCAGCGTCTCATAACATGAAAATTAAAATATACAGAACTATAATTTTGCCTTTAGTTTTGTATGGTTGTGAAACATAGTCTCCAGCATTAAGGGAAGAACATAGACTGAGGGTGTATGAGAACAGAATGCTAAGGAGAACATTTGGTCAAAAAAGGGATGAAGTAATAGGTTTGATAAGATTGCATAATGACAAGTTTCATAACTTGTTTTCTTCGCCAAATATAATTAGAAAGGTCAAGTCAAGGAGGATGAGATGGGCAAGCATGTAGCACACAAATGGGGAGAAGAGGAATGCAGACAGGGTTTTGGTGGAGAAGCCAGAAGGGAAGAGACCACTAGATAGACTTAGACATAGGTGGGAGGATAATGTTAACATAGCTCTTAGAGAGAAAGGATTGGGTTGTATGGACTGGATTCATTTGGCTTAGGATAGAGACCAGTGGCACTCTAAACCATTGAAGAAAGTTTTGAGTCATGATTGCATGTCTTGAACTGATGTTTTACTGTTCTTGTAACAGACAACTCCTGCAGTATTACCCAATACAGAAACACTGCTAGCATCGGTAGGAGTGGTGTCCCCCACCACTTTATCAGCTACAGCTCAGCAGCGTTGTCCTGGAGCCATTGAATTTGGCCAGTATGAGGTCCAGACATGGTACTCATCACCCTACCCTCAGGAATATGCCAGGTGAGATAAGTATTAGATTTACATTCTTGATATGTGGGGAAATGCCATTACAGTGAATAAATTAATGTAAGTGGCATTTTTTCAGATGTATTCTGATTTTATAATTTATGCATCATGTCTGTGAAGGGCATGTAACAGGACCAAGGAGATCTATATAATGTTGATGCTCCAGGTTTGTGTTTGGGAAGTGTTTTGATTGCATGTGTGGCTGGGACCCCAGATGAGGGTTTTGTTGATTACCTCAGTCCCTCCAGGCAAATTTGGTGTAGGTTTAGATTGCGACTTTCTTTCCAGATTCTTTGCAATTTATGAGTCCTCTTACCATTTAGTGCATTATAGTTTAGATGCTGACTGTTAAAAATAACCACAAAAGGAAAGAAAGGTTAATGAATTAAAAAGGCAATTCACAGCTTGCTGTTGGTTCCATATACATTGTTATTCTCAGTGTATTGAGTAAGGATAATATTTTAATGACTTGTAAACACATCATGTCTATTTTTACACAGTGACATTTGTTAGTACAGTTCATTTATCTCTGGATGTTAAACAGAGATGTAGACATATACATATAAATATTCTGTGTACCTGTTTCTGCCATTTCTGCCCTTAATAACTGTCAGATGTGGAATCATCCTCAACATTGACAGTTGTTGCTTAAATGTTCTGCATTCTGTAATCATATATTAGACTTTCTGTCATGCTGAGCACAGTTTTGCCTCTTTTACTGCAGTTCTGGGCCCTGTTAATGCTTGCAGGATGTGTTTACTGGTGATGGTTGCCTATCAATCTTGAGTGTGCTACTTGCCACTTCTGTTGATAGGCCACATTTCCTGCTCCCTCCCTCTCATACAGCATGAACCACTTAACAGTGTCAGCTGGAATAACTCCTTTATAAAAACATTATATCAGGATATGGCTAGAACATGTATTCAATAAATTCCCTAAATATCATATGAAAATTTTGTTAGGAGATTTCAGTGCCACAGTAGGTAGGGAAGACATATTCAAACCAACAGTTGGAAATGAGAGTTTACACGAAATTAGTAATGATAATGGAGTTCAAGTAGTAAAATTTGGTACATCCAGAAGTCATATTGTCAAAAGTATGATGTTCCCACATTGTAACATTCATGAATTTACTTGGATATTTCCCGAAAGGAAGATGCACAACCAAATTGACCATAATTTGATAGCTAGGAGATGGGAATTCAAGTATACTTGATGTGTGATCATCCAGGACTGCATATTGTGATACTGACCACTACCTGGTGGTGGCAAAGGTTAGGGAAAGACTGGCAGTGAGCAAACAAAGAATGCTCATAGTTCATGTGGAGAGGTTCAGTCTCAAGAAATTAAATGAGGTAGAGGGCAGAGAGCAGTATCGTGTTGAAATCTCAAATAGGTTCGTGGCTTTGGAAAACTTGCACACCGAGGTGGATGTTAATAAAGCTTGGGAAACTATGAGAGATAATATCAAAATGTCTGCCAAGGAGAGTCTAAGTTATTATGAACTGAAGAAGAATAAGCCATGGTTTGATGAAGGATGCTCAGAATTACTGGACCAAAGAAAACAAGCCAAACTGCAATGGTTACAGGATCCAAGCAACATAAGTAGGGATAATCTGAACAATATAAGACAAGAAACCAGCAGGCATTTCAGGAACAAAAAGAGGGAATATCTTAAAGACAAAATTGATGAGCTTGCAATGATGAGTAAGAACAAGAACATTAGAGACTTGTATAGAGGAATAAATGACTTTAAGAGGGGTTACCAAACTAGCAGTAACATAGTGAAGGATGAGAATGGTGGTCTGCATGCAGATTTTCACAACATTTTGAATAGGTGGGAGAAATAATTCAGTTATTGAATGTGCGTAGGGTCTGTGATGTTAGGGAGATAAAAATAAATACAGCTGAGCCGTTAGTACCTGATCCCATCCTTTTTGAGGTTGAAATTGCTATTGCTAAGTTGAAAAGGTATAAATTGCCAGGTAGTGATCAAACTCTGGAAGAGCCGATTCAAGCAGGAGGTGAAATACTATGTTCTAAGATCCATAAGCTAATTAATTCTATTTGGGATAAGGAAAAAGTGCCTGATCAGTGGAAATAGCCACTTATTGTAGCAGTTCACAAGAAGGGCGATAAAACTGACTGTACTACCATGGAATATCACTGCTATCAGCTACATACAAAATTGTATCCAGTATTCTTCTCTCAAGTCCATACATAGATGAAATTATTGGAGATCATCAGTGTGAGTTTCGACGTAACAGATCAACTACTGATCAGATCTTTTGCATTCGTCAGATACTGGAGAAAAAATGGGAGTACAGGGAGAAAGTACATCAGCTATTCATAGACTTCAAGAAAGCCTGTGATTCAGTTAGGAGGGAAGTATTGTACACTATTCTCATAGAGTTTGGGATACCCATGAAGCTAGTTAGGTTGATTAAAATGTGTTTAAATGAAACATATAGTAAAGTCCATATAGGTAACCATTCGTTTGTTGATTTTCCTATCCAGAATGGCCTAAAACAAAGAGATGCTTTATCGCCACGGCTTTTCAACTGCTTTAGAATATGTCATTAGGAAGGTCCAGGCAAACCAAGTGGGACTGAAATTAAATGTGACACATCAGCTGTTGGTCTATGCCGATGATGTGAATCTACTGGTTGATAATGTAGATAGCATAAAGAAAAACACAGGAACTTTAATTGATGCTACTAAGGAGTTCGGTCTAGAAGTAAACACACAGAAAACTAAATATATGTTACTGTCTCGTCACCAGAATGTGGGACAAAATCCTGACATAAAGATAGGTAACAGATGTTATGAAAATGTGGCACAGTTCAGGTATTTGGGAATGACTATAATGAATCAAAACTTGATTCAGGAGGAAATTAAGGGAAGATTGAACTCGGGTAATGCTTGCTACCATTCAGTCCAGAACCTTTTGTCTTCTTCTCTGCTGTCTAAAAACATGAAAATTAGAATATACAAAACTATAATTTTGCCTGTGGTTCTGTATGAGTCTGGGACTTGGTTACCAACATTAAGGGAGGAACATAGACTAGGGGTGTTTGAGAGCAGGGTGTTGAGGAGAATATTTGGACTGAAGAGAGATGAAGTGACAGGAGGTTGGAAGAAACTGCATAATGAGGAGCTTTATAACTTGTACTCTTCTCCAAGTACGTGGTGCAATCCAAAATTTCCCGAAATATATTAATAAAAACTATTATGTCTTACCTGGATCTTATTGTGCACCATCACCTACAAAGTAGTCCCCTTGGGAGCGCATACACCGATCCCAGCATTTCTGCCACTTTTGAAATGCATCCTGGAAGTCTTTCTTTGTTAGGGTGTTTAGTACTGTCTGCGTTTCCGCTTGAATTTCCTCAACTGTATAAAATCTTCGCCCCTTCAGCTTGATTTTAACCTTGAGGAAGAGAAGGAAGTGGTATGGAGCTAAGTCTGGCAAGTATGGTGAGTGGGGAACAACTGCCATCTTGTTTTTAGTTAAAAATACCTGCACAATGTAAGCTGTATGTGGTCGTGCGTTGTCATGGTGGAGTACCCAGTCGTTCGTGCACCATTTCTCTGGATGTTTTCTGCACATGTCCTCCCCCAGACTCCTCAGAACATCACGATAGAACTCTTTATTGACTGTCTGACCAGGAGGGATGAAGTCCTTATGAACAATCCTGTCAAATAAATAAATAAAAAAAAAAAACAGATCAAAATGGACTTAATGTTGCTCTTGACTTTTCGAGCTTTTTTTGGCTGAGGTGAAGAAGGGTTCTTCCATTGTCATGATTGCTGCTTGCTTCAGGGTTGTAGCCATAAACCTAACTTTTGTCACCAGTGACAACCTTCAAAAGAAAGTTTGGATCCTCTTGAAGCTGTTGTTGAAGTTCCCTGCAGACTTCCAAGCGATGCTGCTTCTGTTCATTTAGCAGCAGTCGTGGCACAAACTTCGCCGCAGTCCTACTCATGTTCAGTTCCTCTGACAAAATTCGTTGACATATATCATAACTTAGTCCGAAGGTAACTTTTGTCACCAGTGACAACCTTCAAAAGAAAGTTTGGATCCTCTTGAAGCTGTTGTTGAAGTTCCCTGCAGACTTCCAAGCGATGCTGCTTCTGTTCATTTAGCAGCAGTCGTGGCACAAACTTCGCCGCAGTCCTACTCATGTTCAGTTCCTCTGACAAAATTCGTTGACATATATCATAACTTAGTCCGAAGGTAACTTTTGTCACCAGTGACAACCTTCAAAAGAAAGTTTGGATCCTCTTGAAGCTGTTGTTGAAGTTCCCTGCAGACTTCCAAGCGATGCTGCTTCTGTTCATTTAGCAGCAGTCGTGGCACAAACTTCGCCGCAGTCCTACTCATGTTCAGTTCCTCTGACAAAATTCGTTGACATATATCATAACTTAGTCCGAAGGTGTTACAGAGGTCTTGGAAGGTCAGTCTACGATCTTGCAGAATCAGATCCCTAACATTTGCGACATTTTCTGGGGTGGTGCCACTTGATGGCCGTCCCGAACAATCGTCATCAGTTGATGTTCGGCCAATTTTGAAACGCTTCTACCAGTTGTAAGTTTGTGTCTGGCCTAAACTGTTGTCACCAAAAGCTTGCTTCAACATTTGGTGTGTTTCTGCAGCAGTTTTCCCAAGTTTAAAACAAAACTTTATACAGACACGCTGCTCTCTCGGGTCAGCCATCGCAAAAACGCAAACTCGGAAACACAACAATGGAAATACGTTCACCAACAATAAACCCAGCCACTCAACACAACGCCGCTTGCCACACTGATTCAAGAAAGGTGTGTGGGGAGACACTTAGTGGTATTTCGATGTACTCATAACCATTTGCACGCAAAATTCAAATTTCAGGAACCTTCGGATTGCACCATGTATAATTTGAATGATCATGTGAAGGAAGATGGGATTGGCAGGGAATGTAGTATGAATGGGGAGAACAGGAATGCATGTAGAATATTGGTGGGAAAGCCAGAAGGAAAGAGACCATTAGGAAGACCAAGTTATAGGTGGGTGGACAATATTGAAATGGATCTTAGAGAGATATGTGATATGGTATGGATTTGATTGGTCTGGTTCAGGATAGGGACCAGTGGAGTGCTCTTGTGGACACAGTAATGAATCTTTGGGTTCCATAAAATGCTGGGAAGCTCTTGTGTAGCTGCACAATTGGCGGCTTCTCAAGAAGGGCTCAGCACCATGAGTGAGTATCAGGATATTCTTCATTCAAAATTTGCAACGCTTTAAGAAAGACATGTGCTGCATGAAACATCATTTGCGTGTTTTGATTTTTATGAGATGTCTCAGCTGTGGTTATTTCTTGGTTAGAACTTGATTTTTATGCTCTCTCAAAAGTTGTAGAGCATTTACATATAAATCCAGTGATCTTGAATTGAGTACCATTCCAATGAACCATTCATGTGTTATCACAGCCTAGAGTACCAGAGTGAGTTGCGCCATGTAATTAAGCTTTCTGCATACAGTGAAGTGGTTCGCTCTTATACTTGGAGTTGCTCTATTGCGTGTATAGTTTGTTGCAGTGTTACTCATTTTATGATTCTTGGATTCATATGCTGTGCAATTTTTGTGGGAGTGAAGAGATTGAAGAAAGGTGGAGCTGACTGTGATCTCTCGATAAAAATGTAAGACACATTTTGTGTCCTGCAGCATTTTCTCCTGTTGAAACCATGCAGATTATGTCTGAAGCATCTCTTATGTGATAAATGGTAATGGAGTTAATTCTAGATGGCAGTGTTAAGTGGTTCTCCCTTGCTATGTGAGAGTTGTTCTTTACTTAAAACTTATACACATTTCTAATTGTAATTTATTCACCTGTACAGAAATCTTTCTCAGTGGTGTGTTTCTTCATCATAGTTTTTAGACCACAACACACTGGTGTAGGAGTATCAGCCATGCTGAAGAAATGATTAACGTTTCAGTGTCACACAGAACTAGCATTTGCAGTTCCTATCCTAGCACATCACTTTACTGGAACTGTTACTTGTACAGCATGTACTGTATGTAGTACTTCAACTGTACACTAATATACTAAAGGGACTTCATGGATGGTCAGCCAATGAGAGGCAAACGCGCCATCACGTACTGCTGATGTTCTGCTTACATTTACTCTGTAGATAGCATTGAATATACTATAATCACAAATGGTATCCTTTCTAGTTGATCCTCTCATCACATTTTATTTTAAATATTTGATGTTGAAGAGTATTAAATAAAGCAACTGCTTTTCCCTGTGCTTCTCTGCTTCACATCTTCCATAAAGCATCATATCATGCCCTATGTTATGTCCTTATCTGTTATAACCAAACAGTGTTTATAGACTTTTGTCTTTTTGCCAGGTTACCAAAGTTGTTCCTGTGTGAATTTTGCCTGAAATACACCAAAAGTAAGTCGGTACTTCAGCGACATCAGGACAAATGCACATGGAGACATCCACCAGCAACAGAGATCTACCGGTCTGGAGACATCTCTGTGTTTGAGGTAATTTGATTCATTCTTAAAAGAAACGAGTTGATCACAAGCCTTGTTGATGACCATTTATTGTAAATTAAGATTGTATCGCAGTGGATCAGACTTTTTTTTTTTAGCTTTTCTTTTTTTGGATTCATTTAAACATACTGCAGTATTTCCCTGATAAGTAAAAAATAACCTCCTAAAAGCAGAAAAATTCTTATGAAGAAAATATAAAATCAGGTTCATTTTTTGGAAGCACTTTTGAATTTTTATCCCAAGAAATTGTTTCTTAATATTTCAGTTATAAAAAGTCACAAATGTATTGTGGCACGTAGATCAGTTGCTTGGCAGCGGCTGTGAAAGAAGGAGCCATACAACAACCGTTACTGAGTAACTGCTTCTAAAATAAGCATGTGTGCCAGGCAGCAGTTGGAAACCACAACAGAGGAACAGTGTTTTCTGGGCAGTCCATACCGAGATGTTACAAGCAGGACAGTTAGCTAGAGTCGGTCAGTTGATAGTTGACAGTTGGAGCAGTGAGTTAATTGTGAGACAGTCCCCAGCTGGTAAGAACATGAGCACAGAAGCAGAGGACATTTTTGGGATCCATCACCAGGCAATGATTGGTGAAGTCACAGCAGGCTGAGAAGACTAGTGATTTGTGAATTGTAGTAATGAGCTGTACAAGTGTGCAGTAAATCTGGTTACCAATTCAGACCCCTTCTATAGTCACTCTAAAATCATGACAGTATATTATCAGGACAACCTGGAGATAAGTGGCAGAACCAGAGTTTCTTTTTTACTTCAGTGCTAAAGAAAAATGAACAAGACCCAAGTCATAATGGGCCATATAAGAATTGCATGAAATAACAAGGATCTGAACATGTGTTACTTAGATTTACTTTTAACTTTCTGCATGCTGTTAGGTTTCTTTGTCAGAGTCATTGCTTCCCATTACCTGAAATTGCTGCTGTTTTTAGTTCAAATTATTTTACATTGCATTAACAGTTTCTTATTCTTATTAAATATAAAAAAGCATATATGCACATGCAACACCAAGCCTGCCAGACTATGAAACAAGAATGTTGGAAATCAAATGAGTTGGAACAGATGTTCAGTGATTCCGTTTACTTATTGAAGGATAAATAATGAAACCAAGGGAACTGGAAATCAGTACGAGTTTTGAAGTGGTCCGCAGTCGATAATGCTGTTGAGAAATGAGTGATGGTCGTAATGCCCTTTAAACATTATGATCAAACTTTCATGACTTGTACATTTCATCATTATTATTTTAAATTATTTATTTAAAAAAGCATTACAGAATGAACGTCTAAAGCAGGAAAACGTTCGTGAGAAGTTTGTACACAGGAAATTTTAACCTATACTAGCGTTTTTGTGGGACTTTGTTAAACAAACTTCTTATAAGGGAAGACATAATTGAAAAGTTAATATCTGGGGAACACTGTCTAATACATTGTACAGTTCCTAAACATGAAGGACCATTTTTTATAAGGAAAAATTTCCCGGAGTTTAAAATTGACTTTCAACTTTATGAATAAGTAGTATGTAACATGGTTGGTGTAGCAATTTAGAATAGATGTGATGTTTATGTGGTACAGTTGAATGAATTTTTTTTAAGGCCTAGTATAGCAGGCCGTATTTTTCAAATTTGTGAATTATGTTTAACAATGGCTGAAATGTGTTCTCACTGCATGAAAACCACACTTTCTTTGTAAATGTTAATTAGAGGACAGATATTTCAGGTAAATAATACAGTGTGAATGTAACCAGGCAAGAATTTATAGTGGATAAATTGTTCAGATCTTCTTCCAGGACTTCCCTTGACATTTACCATTTCACTGTTGATGTTCTCCATATTCATCTCTCACGTTGTGAGTTGCGTGATAGCCCTTACTTGAAGCTTCATCTGGCATGTGTTCAGATTTAAGAGTAAGGAAGAATTTAGTTATGTTAAGATTGACTGTGCCACAGTCCTTTCGCCATGTATTCCAGGGTTATAAATCCCTGGAGAGTTTAAGTTTTCCTCTTCAACCAATTCTCTGTGTACTTCTGTCACCCTCCTCGTTGTTAGGGTCTGGGTCAGTGAGCCCATTTGATGTCACGGGACCAAGAGTTCAGTGTTCTGTACTCTAATAATAGCACTAACCCACAGAAACTGTGGTGCTGGTTGCCAATCCAGCAGAGGAATGAACTGTTTCCTCAGAATGTGTGCCGAGAGAGAATTATGTCATTTTGTCAGCTTTTTGCCGTCTTACAGTTGCTTGAATATGGCAGACTGGACAAATTGCCCATTAAATGGTCAGCCTGGAGTAGGGGAGTGAAAGGGCTAAGGTTTATGCTACTGGAATCTACAGAATAATGTGAAATTGAAATAAAATGTCTTGTTGATTTAGGTGGATGGCAATATCAACAAGATATACTGTCAGAACCTGTGCTTGCTAGCCAAACTTTTTCTCGACCACAAGACGCTTTACTATGATGTGGAGCCTTTTCTGTTCTATGTGCTCACCAAAAATGATAGCAAGGTATGTTACTTGTGGGATAATTTAAGCTCCTGGTGGCAGCTACTTTCTTCTTCTCTGGGCTTAGTGACGCTTTGTGGAATGTGATCTGTAAAGATGGCAGGAGGAGAATTGAGGCGCAGTATTGTTTTTCTGACAGAGGTGTGTAATTTAGTAGAACACAGCTGTTATATTCAACATATATATAGTCAGAATTACTGGGTTTTTTACTTTGACCATCATCCAGTATTTTAACAGCTATAAAACACAGAGTTTGGAAAGTGGATTTGTTTGTGTCCTCAGGTGGGGGGAGGGGGGTGCTATACACCATTGTTGCAATCCTTTAGAATCTACCAACACATACACTGTCCCACCAAGTAATGGCCAGCTTTCAGGAAATTATCAGGTCATTTGAGTAAGTTCTGAGGTTTTCATGGCAGTGATTGCTCAAATTGCAGTCTTCTGGGTTGTGGATGCTGATATCTCAGAGGAATGTTGTTTTCCTCACAGGAACAAAATTTGAAACTAAGCAGGGCCTATGAAAAGGGCTGTCCTTTTTCTTACTTCTCACATTCTGCTTTTTTTCTTAAAAACAGATCTCAGTCTGTATAGCGACAGGAAACAGGCTGGATTACCCATACTTCTTTCGGCTTATTTTGGACTTCGTCCATCGTCTGGTATATAAAAGACAAAAAAATCACAACGTTTCGGAGACTGGATCTGTCTCCGTCTTCAGGTGGATAGGGAAGGATAAACCTACTCAGTTGGGCCCCTTAGAAAGAGCTAGTTTCAATCACTGGACAAACCCAGATCTGTAGAAAAACAACCTATAAACAACCGACAACCGGTTCCATCAGTGGGAGGAAAGAACAAAATCACAGTAAAAACATGATAGAAAATTTGTGCCAAACATGCACTTGTCAACAATGTAAAGAAACAGAAGTATGGGTTATATTCCATGAATTCAGTTAAAAACGAAAGTAAAAACTGGATAATGCATGCTTAATCTGCGTGGATAAAGAATCGTGCCACCATGGCGACTTCCGGGAATCAGACTAGTCCCCGGAAGAAAACTTGCAGGAGTAGTGGAACCACTAATATTCATAAAATTACATTTTTTGATTTGTTAACCTCTTCATTGATGAGGGAGGTCCATATGGGAGAAATATCCAAACTGGGTTGGCTGATCGGATTGGATGAACATGCCATATGAGCCGATTCTTTGTATTTCCTGTATCTGCTGTTGCTTTCAACCTCCAAGATCCTAGCTTCATCCCAGCTTACCCTGTGACGTTCTTCATATGCATGCTGAGCCAACCTGAAGACGGAGACAGATCCAGTCTCCAAAACATCGTGGTTTTTTTTTGTCTTTTATATACCAGACGATGGGTGAAGTCCAAAATAAGCCAAAAGAAGTACAGTATACACCATTGTCAGAATCCTTTCAAGTCTATCTGGATTACCCATGTTAGATTCCTGGCAGTGCAGGATTATTCTCCTCTCCAGAGCATCCAGCCTCCTGTCCAGTGGGTACCAGGGGTAAAGCGGCAGGAGTGTGAAGCTGACCACTCATTTCCATCTAGTGCTGAGGTCAAGCAAGGTGGCTCTATGCTGCCACATACCCATATGTCTTCATGGCATAGTGCTTGACTAATTAAGCACAAGGGCAACTTTACGTTTTTTAAGAGATGATAATAGTTTAATTGCAGACCCTCAAGTTGAGAATGAAAGAAATTGAAAAATAAATTGATACTGCATTAACATTATTCTAGCACTTAAACTGATAATTGTGAAGAATTGTTATTTACTAAACACTTTTGTTAAAATGACCTGTATAGTACACTCCTTGAAGTCTGGCCATTATTTGGTTTGACACTCATGTGAATCTATTGTTATTAACACTTCAAGTTTATAGCTCATATGAATAATTTTGAACATATTGTTTCTCCAAAAAATCACACTGGATCCCCATTATAAAAGTGAAGATAGTGGCTGATTATGAAGAAAGTAGGTATATTAACTGCTTTTTTCTGCACCTAGAGAAAACCACTGTGAGTTGAATGTGGAATTGCTGCTAAAGCAGGTGATATGTATAGTAGTGAGTTTGCTTTAAAGAGTTAATACATTTATGTCAGGAGCAAACATGCAAAATTTACGTTCACCAAAGTTGCCCAAAATCAGAAAGAGTAACCATTCTGCAACATTATTCTAAATGCCATTTCAGACTTACTTCTTGCATCAAAAATTGCTGATTTCATTTGTTGGAGCTAATGCTCTGTACCAGCAAGGAGCTGATTGCAATAATTGCTCGGAAAGTATCATAAATTGAACTTATAACTGTTTAACTCTAAATGACGTATAATGTCAGGAAGGTACTATGATTTTTTATTTTCAGGGTTGCCATCTTGTTGGATATTTTTCAAAAGAGAAACATTGCCAGCAGAAGTACAATGTATCCTGCATAATGACAATGCCACAATATCAGAGGCAGGGCTATGGAAGGTTCCTGATTCATTTCAGTAAGTATCCATCAGTTGTATTTGTTTTGAGCCCTACTAGCCTCCTATCCAGTGGGTAGTGGGGGTTGAGCAATTAGTGCCAACAGTGGGAGTGTGTGAAGCTGTACTGCAATTCCCAGACACATCTTTATGGTGTGAAGATTAGTTAAAACCTGGGAACAACTTTACCGTTACATTTCTTTTGACATGTTACATGGAAAAAGAAGTTTCAGAAATTGTGCATAAGAGAATGTGGACCTGAAGCAAATGATAAGTTTGGGTTGCAAAGTGGGAGAACTTATGCCACAGAGAATTTGGATATTCATTTTTTCAGGCTACTTATTGTCGAAGGAGGAAGGTCAGCCTGGTACACCAGAGAAACCACTCTCAGATCTTGGCCGAGTATCGTACCATGCTTATTGGAAATCTGTGCTGTTGGAATACTTGCATGATCATCGTAATGGCCAGTTGTCCATCGAGGAAATGAGTCAGTTCACGGGCATGTATAGTCATGATATTGCCACCACCCTGCAGCTGTTGGGTATGATACGCAGGTAGGTAAATGATAGTACTTGCTAATGATTTGCTTTGTTTCCTTCAGTGATTCTTCCAGAAAATTACGGAGCTAAAACATTCTGTGCAAATGAATGATGTCCACAAACCTTAACATATCTGTGTATACTATACAGTTTGTAAGATTTTCTTCTGTTTAGAACATTATGTAGAGGTTTCATATTGCACTGAGATGTACTGTTAGTTTTGAGATCATTAATTGTTTGGAATGCATGTGCCAGATTATACAAAATATTACCCATGCCAATGGTAACATGTAATGAGACAAGAACATTGGGGGGTGCCATGCATACTAGTAATAGAAGTGGCAGAAGTGAGAATTTTGAGACAAAAAGGGAGTTACTGAGAGACATGAGAAACTGATGGTTTGTGATAAACTAGGAGGTTACTACCTTTGGGGATGTGATGCCTTGTAGTTTGGTACCAGTGTTTTGGATTAATATGCCACCAGTGTACATGACATAACATCGCAGAATATGGGAACCTTAGTTAGTTAGTTAGTTAGTTAGTTATTTAGAGAGGGTGGGTTTTCCCATGCACCGCGACCAGTTTGATCTATTGTGCTTCCCACTACGGTGTCTATACAGTCTCTATACTCTACCGATAAATGGTGTGTACCATCAGTCCCGCTGAGCAAGTGAGTTCGGCCACTTGTTTAGCGGTGTCTATAATGCTTCCCCATCTATCAGAGGCCTTAGAGACTATTGTTGGGCGGGAAACGTCCTGGAATTTGGCTCAGTGATCCCCTTTGGGGATATGAGGTTCTTTTACGTGCCGTAAAGTTACGACACGGGACACACAGCTTAAAGTCCCTCCCGGAGGACTTGTTCCCTGAATTTTTCCGCCCTTAAAAATTCCACGACCTCCGCCGGGTATATGGAGGCCGCTTACGGGAACCTTAATCACCTCCACAAGAATCTAAAATCTCATATATTAGAATTGAAAATATTGCTATATATAAGAAAAGATAGCGGCTGTCCAGTATCTCAAGTGCTTTGGCACTGGCTTGGTCACCACACAAACTGTGTTTCAGTCTAGGGTGATTTCTTGTGTGATTTATGGTGAATGAAGTGGCATAGCAAGTAGATTTCTTCCTGGGTTTCCTTAGTTTTCCCCTGTCATTCATCATTCCTTTTTTGCTCCGTGCTCATCCATTACAATCTCATGAAGTGTGAAGTGGACTCACTGGGCAGCACATTCTCATATCCTTGATCTAGCTTCACCCCATCCCCAGTACGTAGCCTCTTACAAATAAGGAATGTAGTTGTTTTAAATAAAGGCTGGAGAAGACTGTGTGGGCAATATGAGTGAAGGTAGCATGGAATTATAGAAATGCAAGGGGGGGGGGGGGCTTGCGAATTTGATGTGAGACTAGTTTAGAGGGTCCTGAGTTTGATCCCAAGTCATGTCTTTTGATTTTTTTTAGCACTCAGGTTGAACTTTTCACCTGTAAGATAAAGTGGGAATGGGAAGAATACCAGGCCACTTTCATGATGTGGAGCCCACATTATGCTGTAGGACTCCATTGGGAGTAACAAAATTTGTTATGTATCCTTGTGTGGATGAGCTGAGGCTATAACACAGACCATATCTGTACTTGCCTCTAACTAGTGCTAAGGTCTACTTGGATCTGTATATCCACTCACCTTTACTTTATATCTAGAGGTACTGGACTGACAACATGTTTCTTGTGGTAGAAACACTGCTGCAAGAAGTTTCATGGAACCCAGATTTTCACCTTATGGTAGAGAGGTGTTTGTTAAGGAAAGGGAGGTTTGACCAGTCTTCTTTGTAGGTTTAGTGGTGTGTTTAGTGTCAGGGCCAGTACTTCTATAAAGAAGGTTAAAGAACATAAGTAAGCTGTGTGTGTGTCTGGCCAAATCTTCAGAATTGTGCTGCAACAAAAACTTCATCTGATAGTTCTTGGATACATTTGTAATGGCCCTTAACTGAGTGGTTTGGCATAGTGATAACACATTAGACTCTTATTTGAGAGATACTCAATTGAGATCTTACTCAGGACACTTACTATCATAAGTGAGGTTTTTCATGGTTATCCCCAGTTCTTCCAGGCAGATGCTGGGATAGTACCTCAATTAGGCTACGATTTCTTCCTTCCAAATCCTTTTCATCTGATCGTTCATCATTCATCCTACCATTTGAGGCTTTAGAGTCTGTTGAGAGCAATGAAGTAACTCACGAAAGGAGAGAGCATTTAGCAGGAATCACATTATGAAAGAACAGCAGTGTGTAAATGAAATATATGTAATACAGTTATGGTGAGTTACATTAAAATGACAGAATTAAGTTAACCCCTTTTTTAGTGTTTCTGTGTGATGTATGTCTGAACACGCTAGAACAGGACAGTGGCAATAGTAATGGAAACAACTGAACTTTTCAAAGTCAAAATTGAAGAGGACAGAATGTTTCAGTCACACTTAATGGGAGAAATTATAGCAGGGTACAGCTTAATTTGGGCCCAACATAATATTTGGAGCATTGTACTCTGTCCCATGGGCTTCATTGTACACATAGGAAAATGTATGTCTAACCTGACAGAATCTGGCTTAGGTTTTTGAATCTTATGAATATGGTGACTAAAATGTTTTCAGATGAATAAATCGTATATGCCTGTGTGAATATGTAGCTAGTTCTGAATTGTGCAGGGTTGGGGGTGGACTAGGTGACACGAAACCTGCTCTCCTGGTGATCTGTGTGGACTGGAGCAAAGTGGATGAACACATGGCAAGAGTGGCCCGCAGCAAGACACGAATCCATCTTGACCCAGAGTGCCTCCGATGGACACCATTAGTGACCACAGTTCCCAGTCCATTCCAGGAAGAAGAAAAGGAGGTATGTGCCTTTCTCAGAGGATTGTAGAACCCCTACTTGAAATGTGCTTTATTCGATTATATTCACATGTATTCATTTTTATTATGTGTCTGACTTCAGTCTGTTGTTACTTAGGTTAAATCTAAGGTGTCTTATTAGACAAACACATAAGCATGTCATATTTGCTTAAAAACATGTTTTAGAAGCTAGTTGTGCTTTTATTATCATGTGAAAGCTGAAACATCCTTTCGTGGATCCGTTATAATAACCTAGTTATAGAGATTGCTTCAATCTGATTGACTCAGCAGAGTAGGTTTCATACTTTTTCCCTGTGATGGAAGCAGAGTCAGCTTTCAGAATGATATGTCTGTTTAATAAACAGTGAGATAAGAAATGTCGAACGTAAATGTTACTTACATCTTTGGAGTTTATTTTTGGACTCAAACCACTTATAATGACTGACATTGTTTTATTGTGATATTAATGGGGCAACAAAGTTTAGAGTGGAATAGCAATTTTATGTTTCTCATGTCCATCTCCCTGCACAATTACTCTCTTTAGACATTCTTTGCATGCAATGGTTTCTTTACTTTTATGTTCAAATTTATTATTACAAGGAAAATAAGTTTAGAGAATGGTGATTACAGTCTTCCTGAGGTGCACTATGTTGTAGATTGGTGTATATGTGTGTGTATACAGGGTGTCCCAGGAGGAATGGACCAAACTTCGGGAGGGTGTTCCTTGTGTTAAAAGTATGCCGATATAACCCAAAACACCTATGTCCAAAGTTGATCGGTTACGGAGATAATGGCCAGAGAAGTGTCAAACTTTGACCGCTGTTACACACTTGTTGGTTACAAAATACATATTAAAACTGGCAGGAATATGTGCATTCTGTAATGTTAATAATGTACGTAACATCAAACTAACTTGTGAGTGACGTGAAGCCATAAAATTGAAGTACAAAATACTCGCTCGCCATGTCATAATTGTCCTTAGGGTTTCCAAGCACTATACATGACACATGACTGGCAAGCGCTGACATAATATGGCTGACTGCGCTATAAGCCGACCACATAACCGTATGATGGGGTACCCAAAAGAAACCGAACTAATTTTTTTGTGGGCAGAGCTTTTGTAGTACCGCGTTTTGCCACTATGAGCGCATAGAGCTAACATTCCTGAGTCGATAAGCCGACTACCGTTGCTTCAGAAGGTAAGGACTAGTTTTGGCAGCGTTTATAGTGACAACTGTTTTATGAGATTGTCGTTTTTGCAATGACTGATTTTTGTGAACAGCGTGCGGCGGTGAAATTCTGCTTTTTGCTCAGGAAAAGTGGAACAGAAACTCTTGAAATGTTAAAAACTGCGTACAAGGTCGATGCTATGGGGAAAACTCAAGTGTTTGAGTGGTTTTCCCCGTTTCAAAAATGGTGAAATGTCAACTGATGCCAAACCTCGTTCTGGTCGTCCTTCCATGGCCTGAACACATGAAAATGTTGAAAAAATTCATGAAATCATCAAGGAAGATCGACGATGGACCATTGAAGAAATTGTGGAGCTGTCGGGAGTGACTTGGAGCTCAGCGGCCAGATTGTGGCAGTCGGGTGACTGGTTTTTCCATCATGACAATGCCCCTGCTCACACAGCCCTGTCTGTACGACAATTCTTGACCAAAAATGGTATGACCCCTGTTCCTCAACCGACCTTGCCCCGTGCGAATTTTTTTTGTTTCCTTGAATGAAAAGAGACATGAAGGGAAAAAACGACGGAGGTGCTGTCAAGCATCTCAAAAGATGAATTTAGACAATGTTTTGAAAAATGGAATAAAAGACTAGACAAGTGTATTAGTGTAAGTGGAGAGTACTTTGAAGGGGATTGAAGGTTTGTGCTTAAAATTTGAATAAATAAGTTTAAAAAAAA